TCACACACACGCACTCACACACACTTGCACTCACTCACACACATGCACCCACACACACTCTCACACTCACACACACACAGACACACACACTCACACACACACACTCATCGATCACGTGTGTGTTACAGGAGCGGGTGCTGCTGTGGCTGCTGCAGTTCATGCAGGAACAGGCCATTTCTCTGGACGAGGCGGATCAGAACGGGAACACGGCGGTGCATGTGGCGGCTCAGTGCGGACATCTCAGCTGCATTCAGGTCTGAGAGAGAGACAGGAAGCAGCTCTCCTCCCATTTCCTGTTGCTCTGCAGAGAGACGCATGGCTGTTAACACTGGCTCTCATTCACTGACCACACGACACACACATTAACCTAATCTGAGCACAAACGCTTTCCAATCAAAAGCTTTCGTGCTAAAAATGTTTTAGTGTTCGTGTGATTTCAGTTGTTTTTATGTTTTTTCGAAATGCAGAATAACCACAAAACTCACACACAAAATACACTGGCAAAAAGTTTGGGATCAGTAAGATTTTGAATGTTTCTGAAAAAAGCCTGTCCTGCTCATCAAAGCTGCATTTATTTGATCAGAAATACAGTAAAAATTGTGAAATATTATTACAGTTTAAACTAGCTGTTTTCTATGTGAATATCTGTTAAAGTGTAATTTATTTCTGTGATGCGCAGCTGTATTTTCAGCATCATTACTCCAGTCTTCAGTGTCACATGATCTTCAGAAATCATTCTAATATGCTGATTTGCTGCTCGAGAAACATTTCTGATTATTATCAATGTTGAAAACAGTTGCGCTGCCCAATATTTTTGTGGAAACCGTAATGCATTGTATTTTTCAGGATTCACAGATGAACAGAAAGTTCAAAAGAACAGCATTTATTTGAAATAGAAATCTTAGAATAGAAAGCATTTTTGTAACTTTAATGTTACTTTTGATCCATTTAATGAATCCTCAATTAATAAAAGTATTAATTTCTTTCAAAAAAGACAGAAAGTAGAAACTACTGACCCCAAACTTTTGAACGGTAGTGTATATTGTTAGAAAAGATTTCTATTTTAAATAAATGCTGCTCTTTTTAACTTTTTATTCATCAAAGAATCCTAAAAAAAGTGTCACAGGTTTAAAAAAAAAAAAAAAGTATCACAACTGTTTTCAACATTGATAATACATCAGCATATTACAATTCATTTGCAGAATTAATATAAAATTCAGTTTTGATCACAGTAATAAATTATATTTGAAAGTATAATTAAAATAGAAAACCATAATTTTAAATAGTAATAACAAATAATTTCTATAATTCACATAATTATTAGTAAATGAGACCCAGTGTTGACAACCTTTGAATACACTGTTTAGACTAGTCTTAAAAAGTTAGTCATCTATTTTTTTTTTCTTCAAGACTGGTCATAACTTTTTTTAATTCAGACACAACTTTCATTGTACCCACCAACAAAATGTCATATGCAAACTCCGCACGAAATGCAATTAAAAATAAATAAAGTAACAATCTAATGTATAATTAGACATAACAGACTTAATAAGCAATACTATAAAACAATTCCCCCATAAACTTAAGTCACTATTACACCTCTAAAATAGTTTGAAAAGGTATAATAGATATGAAAAGGTAGATTGGTCTTATTTGTATTGGAAAAGTAATACTGGTTGTTTCAATAAGTTTTGTATAATATTTTCTTCACTGCAAAAAATGATTCTCTTAGTGTTTTTGTCTTGTTTTCTAGTATAAATAACATTCTTGAATCAAGATGAATTTACTTGACGAGTAAAATTATTTAAGATATTCTTGTTTTCTTGTCTAGCTAACCGATCACAGCACACACTGGCCCAGCTAACCGATCGAGACCTGCATGTCTCTGGCCTCGCAGGTGGTCAAACTCACCAAACAGCTGCACGAGTAAGAGCCTTCATTCAGCTGATGTCTAGAGAACATTAGATATGTGACCCTGGAGCACAAAACCAGTCATAAGGGTCACTTTTGTGAAATTGAGATTTATGCATCATCTGAAAGCTGAATAAATATTTCCATTGATGTATGGTTTGTTAGGATAGGACAATATTTGGCCGAGATACAACTATTTGAAAATCCACGAGTAAGAGCCTTCATTCAGCTGATGTCTAGAGAACATTAGATATGTGACCCTGGAGCACAAAACCAGTCATAAGGGTCACTTTTGTGAAATTGAGATTTATGCATCATCTGAAAGCTGAATAAATATTTCCATTGATGTATGGTTTGTTAGGACAGGACAATATTTGGCCGAGATACAACTATTTAAAAATCTGGAATCTGAGTCCGGTTTTGTGCTCCAGGGTCACATATGTTGGTTTACCCCAGTCTGATCTTAAAGACTTTAAACTGGTTACCTGTGCATTTGGTATTTGTTTTTAAATCCTTAAATGATCTGGCGCCCTCCTATTTGTCTGACTTAATAAAAGAAAATAAGCCAACAAGATGTCTGAGATCCACAAAAACTACTCTTTGTTTCAGCCTAGTAAATACATGAAATACATGAATGAATGATGTGTTTCACGAACATGAGCGCTGAGTGACCTGAGCGTGTGTGTGTGTTTCTGACTTTGACAGACAAACGACGGCGCGAGTCGCTCTACAGAACCAGCTTCATCTGCTGCTGCAGACACACGAGCTCAGGTCTGACATTACAGATGCTTGCTCATATCTCTGATTAATGTCTGACAGACAGAAGGAGGGGATTTTAGCTCCACCCTTTCATTGAAGAAAATTGTGGTCAGATACACACAGAAACTCAAAGATCTTCATGACAATGCGACAAAATAAAAGTTTGGTTTAACTTGAAGAAATTTTGACAGAAATATATTACTATTGCACAGTAGAATGTACTTAGTAACAACAAAAATGTGTATAGTAATAATAATCATACAATTTATTAAAACACACAGAAACTCAAAGGCCTTTGTAAGAAGCAGACAAAATAAAAGTTTAGTTTAAATTGAAGAAATTATCAGAAAGATAGAATGTGCTTCTTAAAGTAGTAATAACAATAATAATATTTATGCTTAACAATTTTTTATCATGTTTAAATTTAAACAGTTTGCCAAAAAAATTAAACGCGTTCTTTCAAATTCATTTGATTACATTTTACAAGATTAATTAAATTATGGTTTTATGCTTTTTTTTGTTGTTTACCGCCGTTTTTTAATAGGTTTATATAAAATCGTAAAACGCAGAATCCAGAAAAAAACAAACCTTATAAAAATAAAACACATTTCATAGGGCACTATTATTGTTAACATATTAATAAATTTAAATAAATTCAAAAGCTTTATGAATTCAGTTGATTACACATCCTTTTTGATAGAAATTTCATTAAAACGTAATCCAGAAAAATGTATAAATTAAACACATTTCATAGGGCACTATTATTGTTAAAATATTAATAAATTGTTAAGAACTGTTATTAATTTAGTTGATTTGATGTCCGTTTTCATTATTTAAATTTAATTTAACCGTTAAAATTGAATCCAAAAAAATATAAAACAATAAACAGAATTAGGGGAGAAAAAACATTTCTTAAAGCACTGTTATTGTTAACATTTTAATAAATTGTTAAATTGCTATTTTTATGAATTCAATTGATTAGACTTTTTTTTTTTTCAAATGAAATTTAATTAAACCACAAAAAGTCCAGAACAATTACAACAGAAAACACAGAATTAGGGAAAAGTAAAGCACAACTTTTACGGCACTATTATTGTAAATAATTAAAATGTTAAACCTTTATGAATTCAAGTAATTAGACATCATTTCAGTTGCTAAAATTTAATTAAACCACTACAAGTCCAGAAAAATTACAACAGAAGATGTGGAATTTGGGAAAAATAAAACACATTTCATAAGGCACTATTATTGTTAAAATTTGAATAAATTATTAAATTGTTAAACTATCATGAATTCAATTGATTAGACATCATTTCATTATTTAAAAATGAGTTAAACCACTAAAAGTCCAGAAAAATTACAATGGACAACACAGAACACTGCAAAAAATTATTTTCTTAATATTTTTTGAATGTTAAATATCTAAACATTCTTGAATCAAGATGCATTTACTTGACAAGTAAAATGATTTAAGATATTAAGTCTTGTTTTCTAAAATAATAATCAAAATGTAGTTAGTTTTTGTTTAAAACAAGCAAAAATATCTGCCAATGGGGCAAGAAAAATAATCTTGTTTAATCTTTAAACTTAAATTTTTGCATGTTTTTACAGAAAACAAGACTTAATATCTTAAATCCTTTTACTTGTACAGTAAATGCATCTTGATTCAAGAATGTTTAGATATTTATACTAGAACACAAGACACAAACACTAAGCAAGAGAACCATTTTTTGCATTTTCTCTGTGCGTCTCCTCAGCTCTCATGTGGAGTCGTGGCCTGAGATGATGCTGACGGCCGAAGCGGCTCCTGATGACGGTCAGTGGACGCTGAAGCAGAGACACATGGACTCAGTCCTGAGCAAGCCGACGGACGGAGAGGCGGAGCCAGGGGCGGGGCCTGGAGCCGGACCAATGAGGCGGCTGGGGCCGGGCGAGAGGCGGGAACTCAAGCTGGCGCATCTCAAGCAGATCATGCAGCGTTCGCTCAGCGAATCAGACGCGGAAGAGTCCAAACCATCCCGACCCGAGCGGCCCACGCAGCTGTCCATCGCAGAGCCCGACGAAAACAAGCACAAGTTCTCCTTAACGCACAGAACTCCCAAATCCGTGGACGTTTGCAACCCGTCTCCGTCGTCAGACCACAGCGACCCAGAAACCAAACCCGAAGAGCTTCCCGACGGCCAGAAGGTCACCACCAGTCCCAAAAGCGCCCTCAAGTCGCCGTCCACGCGCAGGAAAACCTCGCAGAACCTCAAACTGAGAGTCACGTTTGATGAGCCGCCGCGGAAAGACGGACCAGCGCCGGACGCCAAAATCCAACCCAGCAAACGAGCGTTTGGGACGTTTCGCTCCATAATGGAAACCCTGAGCGGAAACCAGAACAGCAACAACAACAACGCTCAGAGCGCCGCCAAACACGCCGGGAAGAAGAGCGAATCCAAGAGCAGAAGCAAGACGAGCGCTGTTTAAAACTAACCGATCCAAATCCAGACTCTTTAGAAACCAGGTGCATCTTTTCCACACTATTTGCTGTGCACATAAGAACACGCTTTCATGTGCGTTTTGAAATTGTAACTTTGCAATACTGTGATTTTGTACAGACTCGATAATCAAAAACAAGCAGCCGTACAGCGAACAAACGAGCGAACGAATCGTGTTCTTCATTAAATGATTCGGTGGATCCAACGCTGCACCTTCAGTTTCTGATTGATTTCAAAACTCTGATACGTTTTATATGTAATCTGTATTGTTTTGAGTTATTGAAGTGTGGATTCATAATTTAACTATTATGTTTGAATGCAAGAAACACTATATTATTGGAATCATTGTAACGACATTTGGCGATTGAAATAAAGACGTTTTCAACTGAGCTAATTGTCAAACGAGGAAAGAAAAACGTTCAGTTAATGAATCAAGAAAATATTCGACAGCGTTTCTGCAGGTCCACAAATTAAGGTCTTAAATCAGAGCAGAAAGTCTTAAATTGTGACCCTGGAGTTAAGTTAAGTGTCAATTTTTCCAAAACTTTCCATTGATGTGTGGTTTGTTAGGATAGGACAATATTTGAAAATCTGGAATCTGAGGGTGCAAAAAAAATCTAAATATTGAGAAAATCATCTTTAAAGTTGTCCAAATTAAGTTCTTAGCAATGCATATTACTAATCAAAAATTAAGTTTTGATATATTTACGGTAGGAAATTTACTAAATATCTTCATGGAACATGATCTTTACTTAATATCCTAAAGATTTTTGGCATAAAAGAGAAATGTATCATATTGACTCATACAATGTATTGTTGGCTATTGCTACAAATATACCCCAGCGACTTAACACTGCTTTTGTGCTCCAGGGTCACATTTGATACACATAACCTCTTTGTTCTCCAGTACAAAAATCTAATCATCCTTCACTGAAAAGGCATTTACTGGAGATGCAAAATGAGGATTTGAAGTCTTGTTTTGAGAAATTGAACAAAATGAAGTAACAAATATCTGCCAATGGGGAATGAAAATGTTTTCGCTTTGAATGAAGTTGATTTTTAGCTCATAAACTCGCTTCATTTTGATCCATTTATCAGAAAACAAGACGTCTTGCCATTTTTGCATGAAACTGGAACCCTGTTCGACTATTCACACATGCATTAGTGCGCGTGTTACATGAATGCGTTTAGCAGATGCATTTGTTCAAGAGAGGAGTGAAGCACGAGAATGAGGGACATTTGCTCCGATCTGAACGTGAGCGAGTTTGAGCCGAGTGTAGTGCTCGTGAAAGGAGAATATTTTATTCCAGGAGCCGATATGTGCTGATGAATTAGAGCTCGTTTGCAGGGCGGCAGAAGCGTGCTCGGCTGTGAAACAGCAGCTTTAATTGGAGCCGGATGAGAGAGAGACAGGTGCACACAGAGAGAGACAGGCGCACAGAGAGAGAGACAGGCGCACAGAGAGAGAGAGAGAGTTTAAGGCTGTTGTGCAGCATGAAAATGGAGCAGACGAGCGCTTGATTTGACAGGAGGAGAGTCGTCTATAGATTTTTGTGTCCATTGTTTGGGCTTATTTGTGTGCTGCTTTACTCAGTCAATCAAATATAATTGACACCGCTGGGGCTGCTGTTGTTTCTGGATGACAGCGGTTAATGCCGCCGGAAAACAGCTGCGGGAAAGTTTCTCTGCTGAGCGATGGGGAAAGGTTTCTGCCAGAACGGTGACAATCTCGCGCATTAATTGATGCCGTGACACAGATGAGGGATAATAATGCAATCAACCTTTAATTGTGCCGCTTCTGTTCCTGCTCCATCAGATGTGAGCTGCAAACAGCATCGACACACTCACGTCCGTTCACATGAAATTAACCTTCAAAATCTGGATGATATTTTTGCATTCTGTGTCTGTTTGGAACCAAGGATTGTTGTTTTATTAAATGGTCATAACTTTTTAAAACTAGAAACAAATCAGCAACTTCAGATTAATGAGTGAATGTGAAAAAATCTAAATCTTGAAAATAAAGACGCTTCACGATGCCATAGAAGAACCTTTTTTTGTCTAAATGGTTCATTATAAAGCAGAGAGTTCCGGTGCTTGATTCTGATTGGCTGAGCCGCGTTCGAAGCTGTTGTGAATGACTCTACAAAGTAACATACACCTTTGTTTACGTTTGTGTGTTGCTCGGCAACCACTTTGTTGCAACCACAACTGTTTCTGAGGAGCTACATTGTTTGGTGGAAGAATACTGTTTTTATTAATATCATTACACTTTATTTGCTCTGTTTTATTCTGTGAAACCTTACTACGTATATGGAATAACCGTTTTATAAAAGCAATAAGCCCCGTGAAGCCGTGGTTTACAGTGAATTTATAACAGCTTCGCGTCGTGCCTAACAACACCCCTTAGCTGTTATAAACTCACTGTAAACCACGGCTTCACGGGGATTATTGGTTCTTCAGATTATAAAAAGGTAAGAAAGAGATGTTCTTTAAAGAGCCTTTGGCTGAATGGCATCGCTGTGAAGAACCTTTTAAGCACCTTTATTTTTAAGATTGCACCCCTGTTTTATCAATTAAAAAATGAAGAAATTCGTTATTTCAAATTACACATAAACCACACCAAAAAACTAGGATGCAAAAAAAAAATTAAATGTTTTTTTCAATATTGACGAGAAATTTTATTTGAATATGTAATTGTATGAAATTTATAAGAAGATATAATCTGAAAATTACCAGTATTAACCCCATTGGAATTAAATTTAATTGAGTTCCTTTGAATTTATGACTCATAATTGCTCAAAAACAGTCAAAATTTATGAAACCTACATATTTATTTCTAATTCTAATTATTTTTCAAACAAAATAAATTCATTTTACTTGCATAAACTTTCACTTTCAGATGAAAAAGTGGCTGGTGGTTGCCATCTGGTGGAAAGAAACAAAGAAAATCAGCTAATACCATGGTTTAACACTATATAGAAGACTATATAGTGTATAGGAACAGTGTTTTGTGACAGAATTGCTTACTTTTATTAGGTTTTACATTTCATTGTCAAAGTTTAGATTTTTTTTTAAATGTTAATCTGAAGTGTCAGTTTTTGCATTATTATAGTCAAACCTGAACATGGAGAAAGCATTTTGTTACCTATAATCTAAGTCAAACGTCAAAATATAATAAAAATGTAAGAAAAAATAATCAAGAATGTTTGATCAGAACTTGATTAATCTGACTCTGATTTGATTTCAACCAATTAGTTGAGTCTTCAGGTGCAACTAACCAGTAAAACAGTTTCAAACTCAAAGTGTGTGTGTGTGTGTGTGTGTGTGTGTGTGAGTGTGTGTGAG